TTATGTGGCGGCGAAAGGGAATAGATGATACCGAAATAATTTGATGCGGTCGCACCAAAGTTAAAAGATAATTACTTTTTCAAAAAAAAAAGTAAAAAAAATCACGAAAAAAGAGATCTTATTGCAAAAATTCTCAAAACGGCAAAATATCGAAAAAAAAATTGAATTTTAAAATAAAAGTACATTCTATTGACAAACTTTGTAAGGATATTTAAACAGTTGCTGTAAAATATCAGCGAACAAGTTGAAGATTTTTTCAATTTGTTACTCTTCTTTTGTCAATTTTTTTCAATTTGTAATATCATATTGAATTCAGTGGATTTTTTGTGAACAAAATAAAGAATAATTTATCACTATATACAATTTTTCACCAAAAAAAAAAAAAAATGAAATAAGTGCGAAATACGATGGTAACTGACATCTACCTTTCAACTCCAGGGCCTACATCGTGGTTCAGCTGAAAGATGCGAACACATTTAAACAAACAAAAATGACCGAAAAAGACTAATGGGGCTTATTTCAAAGCGTGGCCCTACTTCTTTCATGTGACAATAATCCGTCCAATGGGAGCTCAAAATGCAAAAATTTTTTGGAGTACAATCAGTAAAATACCAAATTTAAAGGGTGCAAAATAGTAGAGGGAATGGGACTTTTAGTAAGAAATGGATTTCTATCCTTCCAAAAATTCTTCTTGAACATTTAAGATACCTTAAATCACTTTTGCAGGTCATGATATCGATCATGAATAACCATCGTATGATTTGATCTATTTTTGGAGTCTTCGCCAATTTCTTCTATTTTTGGCCCTTATTTGGCATCTTTGTTTCAAAGGGGGTAGAGAACCTCTTCGCATAAAATTTGAAATTTTCGGAGTAGGGCCCATATTGGTCTTGACCACTAAAGAAATTTATTTATGCTACCGTGGGGTAAGGAACCATCGTACAAATAATTACCACATAGAAATTTATTCAAGTAAAGTCCCTACATTGGAGTATCCCCAAGTCCTCTTTCACATCTAATGTGTGGTCAGAAAAGAAAAATGTGTATTCTATTGAATTTGTAACCCCCAAGAGAATATTGGTTGGGAACGTAGATTTGGGATATACATCTATATGAAATAAATTGTGAAAACATGAACAAATTACAAATATAAGGAAGTAGCACGGGACCGAATATTTGTTGAATCGTCATTGAATTATACTATGATGAAAAATATTGATTTTATGGGGTCTCCAATTTACAATTTAAATGACAAATAAAATTAGTTCCCATATTACGGCAATGGGTGTAAAATAGTAATTATATTTGACTATTCTGAAATCAGTCTGACCTCAATTATGAGGTGGATAAAACTTTTTTTACTAATTTAAATCACCTGATTTTTTTCAGTTTGACATGCTATGTTGTTCTGCTATATTTTCGATTTGGCCTCTATTTGTCATCTTGGATTATAAGGGGTGAAGAAAGTTTTCAATGTAGGTCGATGTTTCGCATTTTACCATATTTCAAAGGATTTGGCTAAAAATGTATATTTGGGGGTGAAAATCTTACACAAAAATTCAACATATCTACAAATTTTAGAATTTTCTCCATGTAATAGTACCCCTTCAAGTCCACCTTTTGGCGGACAAACAGACCGACATGGTTAGGGGGACTTATGAGGACTCTAATGCACAATCTGTGGTGCTAATGGGCTTAAAAAAGTAATTAACTTTGTACAAAGTACAGTAAATTCCAAATTACTGCTCATTTCACTAAAAATTAAAAACTAATCGACCAGTACCAAGAAGAAAATGTTAAAATATGTGAAAGGTTCCAGATAAAGTCAATCTAAGCATTCCATTTTCATACTTCATCTAATAGAGATAAAAATATTGGTTTGGGGAAAATTACAAGAAAATCGAACATTTATTTCCAATTTTATGCGATATCCTTAATTCCATATTCATAACACGTTTTAGGTTGAAAGAAATATTTAGGTATAGAAGTTGTAAAGAATCGCAAGTTATGACAGATAAAAGTGTTGAAAATTGTGACCCTTTGTGGGTGTGGCCAGAGGGGTTCATATAATCTTCACAACATATCTTGTATTGTATTCTTTAAGTGTTTTGCTTTTCAAAATCTTGAACTCTATGTGGGGGAGGTACCTGAAGAAATGGTCCGATCTCTATCGAAATGTTAATTCTTCGTCTTATGAGATTCATAGGTATAGACAATGTTGTCCTTTTGTCCTCCAGAAGGAGTGGACCTATATATCCAATTCTCACAGCAGTTCTTGCTAAAATAATAGGATGTGTGAAATATGAAGAAAACCTGATACTTATTTCGGATTTTATATACGTTTCGGTTATTCAAAACTTTAACCCTTTGTGGGGGAGGAACAGAACTTGTGTTGATAGCGATAATGAAATGTGACAATGAATGGAATCGGATGTTAATTTTGGTTTTATGAGCTGCATGGTGTTTAAAATTTTGACCCCTTTTTGTGAGAGGTACCCGAAGGAGCGGAACGATATATTCCATCTTCACACCAAATCTTTATGAACATTATTGTTATAATTGATTGATATGTTACAATAGATCAGATACTCCCATTTTAAAGGGTTTTTAAATCTGCTGTTTCTTAGTGATGCACAAGGTCAGCATGAGATTGCAGCAGTAATTCTGCACAGCATTTATTATTTTTTTTAATTTCCCGATAAGTAAGCATTTACGGGTACAAAACAATATAATGCCTTATATTAAATAACACATTTGTATTTCTCAATGTGCAAAACAATGCTGATGTTACAACATCAACTAATTTGCATTTCAATTTATGATGTGATTGTGTCAAGTCTGGCATCGTCGGTCCCGCCTACCATACATTTTTTTTCTTTGTTTATATATTACATAAGAGACACAAACAGCGCATTTTATATTATTTTGAAGGATCTTCTGTAAGAAGCAAAAAGTCCTGGGTTATACTTGAACGCAAATGAATGTCGGTTTATTAAGGTCATAGCGACCTACAATGGATTATCATAAAATGAATGCAAGATTTCCGTTAAAAAACGTAAACACTCATATAAAATGTCGTGCAATGCTACTGTAAAACATTTATTCATACCCTTAAGGTATATTTTTTTAGCGAAATTTGAGCACTTGTAGGGTATTTATTCATCTTCAATGTTTCAATATAAATTATGGTATTGCACCCAGATTTAGGCTTGCAAAAAGTGAAATTCTTATACTCTTCAACACTTTCTTCTAAGTAAATTCGTGGACCAAGATAGTACCGACGTACCGGCTATCCAGATCTGTATAGGGTCTATTTAAATGTAAACCTTATTCAGAAAAGTTTGCCGGAAACAGATTCATGGATAGGAGTCTCCCCAAATAGGTGTTCTATCTAAAAAATCTTATATTTACATAGAAATATGTTCGATAAAAAGAGTAGCTCTCAAAAGTTTCCCTGTCTATGGAAAATCTCTCATAGTGGGGTCCACCCGTAAAATAACTTTAAAACGCTTTTATTCAAACGGGACTTTGTCCTTTAGGAAGATATGTTAGGTTGATTCTTTCTGTATATGTTTTTTATACCCTCCAAAAGTATGGAGGGTATATTAAGTTCGTCATTCCGTTTGTAACTCATCGAAATAATCATTTTAGACCCAACAATGTATATATATTCTTGATCAGCGTAACATTCTAAGACGATTTAGCCCTGTCCGTCTGTCTGTCCGCTGTTGTAATCACGCTACAGTCTAAACGAATTAAGATAGGAAGCTAAAATTTTGCACAGATCTCTCTTTTGTTTGCAGGCAGGTCAAGTTCGAAGATGGGCTATATCGGTCCACGATATCGTATAGCCCCCATATAACGGTACCCCCGATATTCGGTATTTTGATGATGTTAGCCACATTTTCAATGGAATTGTCTGAAAATCCACACAAGTAGTTCCTTGTGGGTACTTTATACCTCGGCAGAGAATTATCTATATAGGAGCCACAATATCGTATAGCCCCCATATAACGGTAACCCCACGGTATTCGGTATTTTGATGATTTTAGCCACATTTTTCAATGGAATTGTCTGAAATTCCACAAAAGGAGTCCCTTGTGGGCATTTAACCCCCTCAAAAAGAATTGTCTATATAGGTCCACGATATCGTATATCTCCCATATAACTGTACCCCCCCCCCCCCCCATATAACGGTACCCCCGACATTCGGTATTTTGATGATGTTAGCCACACTTTTCAATGGAATTGTCATAAAATCCACAAAAGTAGCTTCTTGTGAGTACTTCACCTGTCTATAAAGGTCCACGATATCGTATATCCCCCATATAACAGTACCCCCCGATATTCGGTATTTTTATGATTTTACCCACATTTTTCATCGGAATTGTCTGAAAATCCACACAAGGAGTTCTTTGTGAGCACTTTACCCCCCGACAGGTTAACGATAACGTATAGCTCCCATACAACGGTACCCCGCGATATTCGGTATTTTGATGATTTGAGACACGTTTTCCAATCGTATTGTCTAAAAATCCACACACGGAGTTCTTTGTGAGCACTTTATCCCTGAAACGGAATTGTCTATATAGGTCTACAATATCGTATATCCCCCATATAACGGTACTCCCCTATATTCGGAATTTTGATGATTTTAGCCACCTTTTCCAATGGAATTATCTGAAAATCCACACAAGGAGTTCCTTGTAAGTACTTTACACGCAGACATAGATTTGTCTTTATAGGTCCACAATATCGTATATCCCCCCATATATCGGCACCTTCCTTTATTAGATATTTAAAGATTTTAAAAGAATTTTTAATGGATTTAATTATTTTTATACCCTCCACCATACTATGGAGGGTATATTAACTTTGTCATTCCGTTTGTAACTCCTTGAAATACTCATATCAGACCCAACAAAGTATATATATTCTTGATCAGCGTAAAATTCTATTTCAAACAGAACGAAATAATTGTAAAGTAAACAACAAAACCTTTTTTTTATTTTCTCACTATACACGTAATTTATTAGTTAATTTGTTTCACATACATTTGTTTTGTTGTTGTAATGGATTGTTCTTAAATAACTTAGTTCAAAGATTTTTCGCGACATGCATTCATTGCTAAAATAAATAAAACAGCACACTTTATTCCTTTTGTTGTTGTATTCTTAAAATATTTAATTAAAATATTACACAAAATGGAAGTAAGAACTGCCAATAATGTTTGTTTTTGTTTGTATTGTGTTCGTCGTTTCCGGAGGAAGAGGAGGGTTCTACTTTGTTTTTTTTTTTTTTTTTTTTCTTAACAACAGTTACATTAATGAGAGGACTGACATCAAGGCATTCGTTGTCAACAGTTTGTATTTATTTTTGACGTTTTGAATTGTTGTTGTTGTTGAGATAGATATCAAAACGTCACAAAGTTGAGTAGGAGGAGGATGAGGTATGGTGAAGGGGAGCCGCCTAACCACCACCAAATTATATAAAACATCATCATGTGGAACGGTTGCTATTTACCCAAACCGATCCACATGTAGTTGGGATCAATGAAATTCGAACCATGTGCCCACTGGCCATGAGGGTTCATTTCGACGAGAGAACGTATCTTCTGCGATGGTCTGTAGAAACGTATCGCCTTTATCCATTCGGCAGCTTGATCCGTATTGCCCTCCGGGTCGTGCAGATGATGATGTAAATCACCAAATGTGGGATCACCCTCTAAGAGTTTTTGTTCTTCCGACGACCATTGATATTTCTCGCTGAATTGCACATTTTTGGAGAGATCACGAAAAAATTTACCCAAATTAACCATGGAACCTGTAAATGGAAACAGATGAAAAGATAATTTATGAGATGAAAAAATGAGGAAATATTTTACATCTATAAAAGTTCATATCCGTCTAGAGAACACAATTGGTGTGTACAGTACCCCGGTGTGAGATTTCGTACATAGTGTACAAAATCGTACAAAATATTCGATAGTCTAAAAGCCCAATGAGTGGGGACAGTAATATTGACAGTTGAGTAACTGAGAGTTTGAAAATTTAGTTCCAGTTTCATTCGTTTTTTTTACTTAAATTTAGAAGTTTGCGAAACAGCTGTTTTATTGCTCGATTTTACTGAATGTTGTTCGCTTACTTCTTGCAATGTGTCAGTATTTTCCATTTCATATGAGACCTAAATAAATATGATATAAATATTGCGACGTGCCAGGTTTGTACTATATCGACTACTTTCTTCACTTTATATGAAATATGTGACAATTTTTAGAAAATGTGCTTGAGGTCCCAAACGTAGTCGACAGAAGTATTCCATTTTCATAATTCATCTAATACAGGGTTGCCCATATTCGACGGACCCATCTGGCAACGACATAACCTTTGACAGAGATGTCACATCGCTTAATGACATACCGCGTTTGAAGCGTCAGTCCAATCAGATTTTTACCATGAACCAATACACGCCACGCGAGCTCTCTGAAATAGTTGAAATTTACATTCAATAGAAGAAGTCAATTGTGAAAACTCAACTTGTTTTAAAACGTTAGAAAATGTGAGAAGTGCGCCTTATAAGAACACCATTAAGCGTTTATACGAAAAATTTTCGACTGGTAATGCTCTTTCTAATCCGAAGAGGCCATATAAAAGTCGACCAAGGCGATCGGCCGAGAAAATGGCTGCCGTACGAGCCAGTGTTGAGAGGTCTCCAAGAACATCCCAAAAACGCCGTTCTCAGCAGTTGGGCATGGCTCGGTCCACTTTACAACGGATTATTCGCATTGATTTGCATTTGTTCCCGTACAAAATTCAATTGACGCGAAGAATGTTGCCTGCGGACAAGCCTCGTCGATTGGAATGGGTCCAAATGGCCCAAAGGTCCGTCGAATATGGGAAACCCTGTATGAAACTTTATGAATGCATTTCATAGGTTTATAACAGTTATAATTTGAAATCGACGAAACTAATATATGGGAGGTAAATTCTATTCTGAATCGATTTTCACCAAATTTGACGGAGACATTTTTACCTTTCATACCAAACTACATTGCACTTCGAGAAGGATTATGTTAAAAAACATTTGTTCCACCAAATGGAAAAATGCAGTTAAATGCGGAAAAATCTATGCAATTTGGTCTGATATTAAATGTATGGTGGGCAATAACCGTCAAATCGGATGAAGATATATCCAAATCTGAACCGATATTATTAAATTTAAATTTGGCAGAAGTATTTCTGAGCAGCGTCTGATTTCCGGTACCAAATATCATCGTTGTGGAGTGCATATTACGAATATGAGGTATTGGATTGAACATATATATGGGGGCTATAACTGTATCTGAACCGACTTTCACCAAATTTGATTTGAATTGAATTCGGTCGGATGTGCCAAAATACATCGTATTTGGAAGAATATTACACATTTGTCGCACAATAAAATTGAAATCGAACAAAGATATACAGGATGAGATGGAAAAACTGCAACAAACTTCAGACTGCTGTCATTTCTAAGCCACTCGTCCGACAGCTATTAAAATTATTCCAGTGACAGCTCATTATATTGTTTACAAATGTACAAAAGCATTTTGAAAAATAGTTATTCGTGATGGAATTCGAGCGTGATAGTGGGATTTCTTTATTTTTAGCTGGAACCAGCTGGAACCAGCTGGACAACAAGTGGCTATCGTTAGAGCACTCCAATTTAAATGTGAATAAATCTTTTGTATCTCGTACGAAGCGACTTGATCGAGCAGTGGCCGAAAAATGGCTCGTGAGCTGAACATATTGTAATAGTCCATTGGGCAAATATTGAAAAATGAGCACGGGGTAAAGCCATTGAAATTTTAAAAGTGCAAGAACTTACACCGCAACAGAAAGAAAATAGACTCAAAACAGCTAAATAGATGCTTCCCTCGGCCGAAAGTGGTGAACTGTCGAATTTGATTTTCTCTTAAAATTAACTATGGGTCTATCTCGCTTCCTTCTTCATGTTACAAAAAAAGACATAATACCCTGACCAATGTTTAGTGTAGGTTATAACAAGTAAAAAAACATTAAGTTCGGCCGGGCCAAACTTTTAATACCCTCCACCTTAGGGTAAAGTAAACTTTAGAAGAAATGTGGCAAAAACCATTAAAATGCCAAATATCGGCAGGGCTATACCAAATCGTGGATCTACACATACAATGTTTCGCCAAAGGAGCTAGAACCCATTATGACCTACAAATACCAATTTTCAGACAAATCCGTGAAAAAATGTGGCAAAAATCATCAAATTACCGAATATCAGGAGGTACCGTTATATGGGGGCTATACCAAAACGTGGACCTATAATTACGATCACTCGCCACACGAACTAGGACCCATTATGATCTACAACTACCAATTTTCAGAGAAATTCTTGAACAAATGTGTCAAGAATCATAAAAATACCGAATGTTGGGAGGTATCGTTATATGGGGGCTATACCAAATCATGGACCCATACATGCAATGTTTCGCCACCGGAGCTGGAACCCACAATGACCAACGAATACCAATTTATAGACAAATCCGTGAAAAATGTGGCATAAATCATCAAAATACCGAATATCGGGAGGTACCGTTATATGGGGACTGTACCAGAACGTGGACCGATATATCTTCAACACCAATTATCCTAGACACAATACAAATTGCTCTGCTAAATTTTGGCGCTCTACGTCAAATAATGTGGGCTACATCGTGATTTCAACAGACAGACGGACACCGTTAAATCGACTTAGAATTTTATGCTGATTATGAATATATATACTTTATGGGGTCTACGACGAATATTTAGGGATGTTACAAACGGAATGACAAAGTTAATTTGGAGTAGAGCCCTGATTTCATTGATTTCAAGAGCTTTAACGATATTTCGCAGATTTTGCTATTGCTAAGAATGCTGTTTTCTTTGAGTGTAAAAAAATTTCGACAGATTGTATTTAATATTAGTGCAATCGATTTGGTTGTACAAGTTTCAAGTGGAGTTGCTTTTCTGACCCAAGTAGAAAAGCAAAGCTCTAAATATAAATTTTCTGTCGAAGCAATTGGTAGTACTGTGGAAAACTATAGCTGACATTTTCTAAATGCCGAACATTAAAGAGCACCACTATATCAGTTTTTTATCTTTTTGAGAGAGGCTAAATTACATCTAATTTGGTTGGAAAATGTTCAAACCCGATGGTATTGTCACATGTCGGATATTCCAAATAGTGGAGCAGTATTTTCCTTTTTCGGCAGGAAGACAATATACAAATTGAAAATTCTAAAGACCAAATTGTCCGTATAACAAGTCATAATGTATCAGTAAGTTTTGCCGACAGGTGTATACCCTCAACCTTGTGTTATGTTGTTCAAACTTTTTATCCTTTGTGGCCGAGGTTGTGAAGGAGTGGGTAAATATTATCCAGTTCTTATCTGACCTAAGTCTGATATAAGTATTACAATGTGCCAGATTTGGACTATATCGACTACTTCCTTCACATTTTGTGAGAAATGTGATAATTTTTGTAAAATGTTGAAGTATGCATTGGGTACAATACATTGTGGACCAAAGTGTTCTACTTCATTTAATATTGATAAAAAAAAAATTCTAATTTTATGCGAATAAATTATAATAAAAAAATTTAACTGCTTCTTCTTTACTTCTTTTTTACAGCAGAAGCATTTGGCCGTTAAATTCCCTATTCACATTAGATATCTGGTTGATAAAGATATTTAGATATACCAAGTTTGAAAATCATCGCTGACTTGTTACGAAAGTTATAAGAAATATAAATACTGAAAATTGTGACCCATTGTGGGGGTGGTTCCAGAATAGAGTAGGCCGGTATCTATCATCTTCCCACCAAAAGTTGTGCTGGTAGAAATATTGGAATTTGTAAAATTTAGGAAGAATTAGATGCTTATTTCGCATTTTTGAGCGTTTTGGTAATTTAACACTTTAAGCCCTTTGTAAGAGAAGTACCAGAAGAAGCGGACCGATGCGTTCCATCTTTCCACCAGATCTTTCGTTAATAAAAATATTGGGTTGTGTAAAATTTAAAAAGCATTCGAAGCTTGTTTCGCCTTCATGAGCGTTTTGTTATACAAATTGTTGACTCATTTATTAGGGAGGTACCAGAAGGAGTTGACCGATATATACCATTTCCACACTACATCTTTTGCTAATAAAAATATTGGGATGTGTGAGAATCGTTTGATTATTTCGCATTTTATAAGAGATATAATTTTTCAAAATGTCGACACGCTGTGCGGGAGGCACCAGAAGGAGTGGTCCAGATCTTGTGTAGGTAAAAATATTGAGATGCGCGAAACTTGAAGATAATCCGTTCCTTATTTTGAATTTTATAAGAGTTTTAATTATTTAAAAATTTGAACCACTGTGTGAGAAGAACATGATGGAGTGGGCCAATATTGTCCATTTTTACACCTGCCATACTCGTAGCACTAATACAAACATTGGGATTTGCAAAGTTCGCAAGTGGGTGGTCCTTTGGTGTTCTATAAGGTAAATTATTTTTTGTAAAAATGTTGACCTTTTGTTTGGGGAGGGGGGGATACCTGAAGCAATGGACCAATGTTACGACTTAAAATTTTATGCTGACCAAGAAAACATATCCCACATAAAGCTCAGGTTTTGAAACGTTTTCTATATTTAAAGAGATTTTTCTTGAAAAGTTAGTTCAATATGGGGGAAAACTTTTAGGAGCAAGACTTCTTCTATATATTTAAGACCCCTTCTGCTACTGTCTATTGAAAAGTGTTTAAAATTTTAAAATTCCTCAAAGTATCTTAGCTGTTTCCCCTTGCATAGAAATTATTACATTTTTTCTTACCTCCACTAATGGCCGGCAAAAACGGTGTCGTCAGATTCTGCTTAGGTTTCTTATCTCGTGTACGTCCACCCCTTTTTCGCGGAGCAGACGATGCATCGACGCTGGGTTTCACATTGCCATTTTTATCTGCATTCAAATTAGCATCTGCTGGGTAATTATCTGACACTGTATCATCATTATTGGAATAATTGAAATTTTCATTTCCGTTTTCCGGATCCGGATTAGAATTCATTGCATTTGTCCGTTTCATGTTGCTGGTTTTATCAACGGTCAATGGGGGAAACACCTGCATCGACACTTTTCCATATCCTTTTGCAGCGATATCATTAATTCTCTTAAGCGGATCATTCGTATAGTCATCGTCGTTGTCGTCATCATCGTCACCATTACTTCCGAGAGCTTTTAGCCATGACGTCTTTATGGCTTTGTTGTTATTGCTATTTTGTTGGTTACGGTGGTTTCCTTTATCATCGCCATCGTTAGATGCAGTATAAAGGATATTTGTAGGTGCTGATAGTAACGCTGATAATGGAAATCGATGACGTAGTGGCTGTTGTTGTTGCTTTGATGGTACCTTTTGTTGCCATTCTCTGTCCTCTTGCCTGAACTTTCTTATTGGCCAAATTGCATTTGCCATTTTATAAATATCAAAATCGTTTAGATTTTTCAAATCAATTTCAAATTCACTTCCGCTTTTCCATGGCAGGTTTTCAATGGCGCCCAACGGTTGATGGGCCGGATGTTGTTCAACTTTTGCCGGTATTGGCCGCAAACCATTCTCCTGGTGGTAGCGTCGCAACAAGTCATCCATGTAATGAAACATTTGATAGGGATATGGTTTTATCAAAGAATTCAACCTTTTGTCAGCATCGACATCTTCTCCGTCCCCGTCCCCGCCACCACCACCACCTTCAACACCTCCACCACCATCGTCCATTCTTGGATCTGCACACACTTGTATAACTAAAGTGATTATAAAGAAAAAGGAAAACAGAACGAAACAATTATTCTTTCAATTCATAAACGTTTGTCTTTTAATAGATAAAATAACAACTTCTTGTCCTTTGTGTTTAGCCGCACAAACACCCACACATTCATACTCACACACATGTGGCCTACCTTACATTTATCAATTGTCTTGTACCCTTTTTGATATCTCTTCACATGTCTCGCAAATAGTTAAATGTCCTTTTTTGTCAATGAGCCTTTTGAATTTTTAATTAGTTTTGTTGTTTTTATTGTCTCCACTACTACTTCTGCAAGAACAACAAAAACAACATTCTCCTGTTAGAGTAGATAACCAATTAAGATAAAATATGTTAAACACGTTCCAAGGATAATGGAGTGCAAAAAGAAGTGCAAACAATGAAGCGTTTTTTGTTGCTGTTCTTGTTGTTCTCGTCTATGGCATAACAGGTGGATGGATGCATGGATATGTGGAAGCCCCAGATGTTAAAGCATGGCATGGCATCATTATTATTCTAACACACATTATGCTGCATTGGCAGCAGATGTGTGAGCCTATTATGATAATGTTATCTATTGCACAGTGGAGTGATCTGTAATTGAGAATGGTGTTGACTTAAGGAACAACAAGTAAAAAAACATTAAGTTCGGCCGGGCCAAACTTTTAATACCCTCCACCCTAGGGTAAAAGAACATTAGAAAAAATGTGGCAAAAAACATTAAAATGCCGAATATCGGGAGTTACCGTTATATAGGGGCTACACCAACACGTGCACCTATAATTACAATGTTTCGCCACACGAGCTAGGACCCATTATGACCCACAAATACCAACTTTTACACAAATCAGTGAAAAAATGTGGCATAAATCATCAAAATACCGAATATCGGGAGTTACCGTTATATGGGGACTATACCAGAACGTGGACCTATACATGCAATGTTTTGCTACACGCTCAGGGACCCGTTGTGACCTACAAATACCAATTTTCAGACAAATCCGTGAAAAAATGTGGCATAAATCATCAAAATACCGAATATCGGTAGGTACCGTTATATGGGGGCTATACCAAAACGTGAACCTATACATGCAATGTTTTGCCACACGCTCAGGGATCTGTCATGACCTACAAATACCAATTTTCAGACAAATCCGTGAAAAAGTGTGGCATAAATCATCAAAATACCGAATATCGGTAGGTACCGTTATATGGGGGCTATACCAAAACGTGGACCTATACATGCAATGTTTTGCCACACGCTCAGGGACCCGTCATGACCTACAAATACCAATTTTCAGATAAATCCGTGAAAAAATGTGGCATAAATCATCAAAATACCGAATATCGGGAGGTACCGTTATATGGGGACTATACCAGAACGTGGACCGATATATCTCATTTTCAATACCAACCATCCTAGGGACAATACACACACTTGTGCCAAATTTCAAAGGTCTACGTCAAATAATGTGGGCTCTATCGTGATTTCAACAGACAGACAGACAGACGGACAGACAGACAGACAGACGGACAGACAGACAGACGGACATCGCTAAATCGTCTTAGAATTTTATGCTGATTATGAATATATATACTTTATGGGGTGTACGACGAATATTTAGAGGTGTTACAAACGGAATGACAAAGTTAATATACCCTCCTACCCATGGTGGAGGGTATAAAAATTGGGATTTTCACTACCACCAACGACAAGTAAAATAAGAACTAGTAGGGTAAGACAAATGTTGGGTGGGCTGACTTTATGATACCCAATATCACTGTGGAAATTTAGTAGAGACACCTGTAACCAATAAACGTTTATATTAGCATTTAAAGTATTGAGTGCGTATTATGGTTTCAATTTGAAAGCGGTTGGAACTACCACCGGGCCAGGACCCATTTCGAACTACAAAAATACACATTTTTAGGAAAATCCGTTTAAAAATGTGGCAAAAATCATCAAAATATCGTATATCGGTAGGTACCGTTATATGGGGGATATACCAAAACGTGGACCTATACATACAATGTTTAGCCACACGATCTAGAACCCATTACGAACTAAAAATACCAATTTCTGGACAAATCCGTTAAAATATATGGCAAAAATCATCAAAACATCGGTACCGTTATATAGGTGCTATACCAAAACGTGGACCTATATATACAATGTTTTGCCATACGAGCTACAACCCATTATGACCCAGAAATACCAATTTTTTGCCATACGAAATACAACCCGTTATGTCCAACAAATACCAATTTTTAGACAAATCCGTTGAAAAATGTGGCAAAACCCATTAAAATACCGAATATCGGGAAGTATTGTTATATGGGGGCTATACCAGAATGAGGACCGATATATCTCATTTTCAATACCAACTATCCTAAACACAATACAAATTGTTCTGCTAAAGTTTGAAGATCTACGTCAAATAATGTGGGCTGTATCGTGATTTCAACAGACAGACGGACAGACAGACGTTAAACCGACTTAGAATTGTATGCTGATTATGATTACTTTATTGGGTCTACTACGAGTATGTAGGGATATTATGAACTTTTTATACCCTCCACCAAAAAAAGTATGGAGGGTATATTAAGTTCGTTATTCCGTTTGTAACTCATCGAAATAATCATTTTGATCAGCGTAAAATTCTAAGACGATTTAGCCCTGTCCGTCCGTCTGTCCGTCTGTTGTAATCACGCTACAGTCTAAACGAATTAAGATAGGAAGCTAAAATTTTGCACAGATCTCTCTATTGTTTGCAGGCAGGTCAAGTTCGAAGATGGGCTATATCGGTCCACGATATCGTATAGGCCCCATATAACGGTACCCTCCGATATTCGGTATTTTGAAGATGTTAGCCACATTTTTCAATGGAATTGTCTGAAAATCCACACAAGTAGTTCCTAGTGGGTACTTTATACCTCGGCAGAGAATTATCTACATAGGTCTACAATATCTTATAGCCCCCATATAACGGTAACCCCAAGGTATTCGGTATTTTGATGATTTTAGCCACATTTTTCAACGTAATTGTCTGAAATTCCCAGGAGTCCCTTTGTGGGCATTTTACCCCCTCAAAAAGAATTGTGTATATAGGTCCACGATATCGTATATCCCCCATATAACTGTACTCCCCGATATTCCGTATTTTGATGAAGTTAGCTACACTTTTCAATGGAATTGTCTTAAAATCCACACAAGTAGTTCCTTGTAAGTACTTTACCCCCTGAGAGAGAATTGTCTATACCGGTCCACGATATCGTATATCCCCATATAACGGTACCCCCCGATATTCGGTATTTTGATGATTTTACCCACATTTTTCAACGGAATTGTTTGAAAATCCACACAAGGAGTTCCTTGTGGGTACTTTATACCCCCTCAAAAAGAATTATCTATATAGGTCCACGATATCGTATAGCCCTCATATAACGGCACCCCCGATATTCGGAATTTTGATGTTTTTAGCCATATTTTTCAACGGAATGGTCACAAGGGGTTCTTTGTGAGCACTTTACCCCCCGAAAGAGAATTCTCTATATAGTTTATCGATAACGTATAGCTCCCATATAACGGTACCCCGCGATATTCGGTATTTTGATGATTTTAGCCACATTTACCAATCGCATTGTCTGAAAATCCACACACGGAGTTCCTTGTGAGTACTTTACACGCAGACATAGATTTGTCTTTATAGGTCCACAATATCGTATATCCCCCCATATATCGGCACCTTCCTATATTAGATATTTTAAAGATTTTAAAAGAATTTTTAATGGATTTTGAAAATTTTCTAATTCGTTCCAAATGGTGGAGGGTATTCAAAGTTCGGCCCGGACGAACTTACTGCTTTTTTTACTTGTTATTTATCTATTCATGTTGTTATTTTTATACCCTACACCACAAGGTGGGCAGGGTATTATGCTTTTGTGCATTTATTTGTAACAGGCAAAAAGAAGCGGGATAGACCCATAGTTGCTTTTGATGATCTGCATAGAATCACATTCAGAGTCGATTTATGCATGTCCGTCCGTCTGTCTGTCTGGCCGTCTGTCTTTCCATGTATTTTTGTAAACAAAGTACAGTTCACATTTATTGCCCTATCCAGATGAAATTTTGCACAAATCGAAATCGGTTCAGATATATCTATAGCTCCCATATATATTGTTCATCCAATTTGTTATATTTTTGTCCTCCGCAGCCGTAATATGCACTCAGTAATAAGAATATTTGGGGAAATATATCAAAAACAGCTCAGAAATACATTTGATAATTTTTATCGAGATCGGTTAGATTTGGATATAGCTCCCATACATAACTTCGTCCGATTTACATTTTATTGTTCACCAAACATCTAATATTTGTTCAAATGAGATGGAATTTGGCACTTACGACCGAATTGAAGCTAGTATGTCAAATTTGGTGAAGAACGGTTCAAATATAGCTATAGCTTCCATGTATATTGTTCTTCCAATTTGTTATATATTTGTTACCCACAGCCGTAATATGCACTCCGTAACAACGACATTCAGGGAAATATATCAAATACAGCTCAGAAATATCCATGTCAAATTTTATCGAGATCGGTTCAGATTTGGACATAACTCCCATATATATCTTAAATTATAATTATAATCATAGCGAGTATGATTGAATTCTCTCATAAAAACTTATAATTGTTATGTGGAGCTCTTCTAAATTAGCAAAGTGACGTAGGATATCATAAAGTCGACCCCACCCGACTTTAAGACTTTCTTTACTGTTTAAACGTGGATGCTGTCCAAAATTATTAATAAAACGAATTATTAAAAAAAAAAAACACTGGGGTTTTGATTATCTGAAAAAAGCTAAAAGAAATTAGATAGGTGAGCTGGGTCTGGTTTTTGAGAAGCGCTGCTGCTGAATCTTCTAAAATACCCAGTTCTCTTTAATGTTAGCAAATTGCAAATAAGAGCTAAATCTTATGTTAGAAAGATTTAGTATAAATATGGGATATATGTATGTACATACATTAATAATAACGTATATACATAAATAATTGGGCAGTTGCTGAGTATATACTTGTCGGCAAGCCAACTGATAATTTTGAACATGTCATTTGATACGCTCTTCTGGTACCTGCCCACAAAAGGTCAAAATTGTCGCGTGCTTATTTTGTGAAATTTCACATATCCCAATAGTTTTATTAATAAAAGATTTGGTGTGAAGACAGAATATATCGGTTAGTACCTTTTAGTACTACCTCACAGCGGGTCAAAATTTTGAATAATTATGTCTCTCATAAAATGCGAAATTCTAAACTTTACACATTCCAATATTTCTGCTAACCCAATATCTGTTGTTGAGATAATATATATCGGCGTTCTTCTTTAGGTTCCTCCCACACAAAATCGCAATATTTTTACTAGCGAAAGATCTGGTGTGAAGAAATATGTATCGGTTCACTCCATTTGGTACCTCCCCCTTAAAGGTGTTAAAATGTTGAATAATCAAAATGCTGATAAAATGCGAAATAAGCATTTGATTGTCTTTTAATTTCACACACTTCAATATTTCTGCTAACACAGAATTTTGTGTGAAGATGATAAATATCGGCCCAACCCATTTGACACAGGGAAAAATCCAGCAAAAAAATGAAAGTAGAGCTACAAATAGATACCCGTATGGCGTTTTGAAAGATAACATTGCAAAGTAAATTAAGTTGAGAGGCAAACAGCCCCTCTCTACCACAAAAATGTACAAAATATTGTACACATTATAGGTCTCACACTACTTCAAAAGTCGAAATAGTACCTAAATGCCAGAAATCCATGTATATTAAAAATACAAATATATTCTTCATCAATTTTAACAAAAAGTCACTAAGGAAAAGAAATATTTGTATACCCTCCACCATTAAATGGAGGGTATATTAAATTTGTAATTCTGTTTGCAACAACTCGAAATATTCGTTCTCGACTACATAAAGTATATATTCATTATCGGATTCTACATCCGTCTTTCGATATTTTTCCAATTTCAGTACCACTTTCCAGTAAAAAAATCAATGACCACTCAAAGGTCCACTTTTTGGTATATCACCCTTCAGAGATAATATTTTGGTTTCCTAGAAAATTGTCAATAGAGGTATAGCCTGAAAGTTTCAATTTTGTGGAATTTAGAGGGAAGCTTTTTACTTGGTCTTTATATTAAATATCTAATTTTATTGTAAACTGGTTTTATTTATTTTTTATCCCTCCAAATATTTTTTTATTTTTAAAAAAAGGTTAAAGAAGAAAAAAAAAAACGACAAGAGCAAAAAACTACACAAATATATGGAGCGTATGAGTGATAACAACAAATAAATGACCCAGTTAGAGTTCCCTTTTGGTGATTTGCTGTCTGTCCATCAATAGTATGGAGGGTACATTATGTTTGTCATTCTGTTTGTAACACATCGAAATAAAAACATGTTTTTTAGCCATTTTTTTATCCGAATTTGCTGTAAATTGGCGGTATGTGTTCTCAGCATGTAAGAAACATCCTCACAGCAAAGAACTTTAAATAGAGGTCTTGAGCTTTGTGTAAAGTCCCTATTCGATATTTTAATGATTTTAGTTACATTTTTCTTAACAGAATTATCTCAAACTTGGTATTTGGAGTTCGTAATAGGCGCCACCTTCTCTGGCAGATAATTGGCTATAGAGATCCAAGTTTTCGTGTAGGCCCTATGTGCACTGCATACTTCACCTCCAGATACTCGGTATTTTGATAATTTGTGTCACACTTTTCACTTGAATTTTTTCAAACTTGGTATTTGAAATTCGTAATGAGTAATACCTCCTATGAAAGAAAACGTTCCGTACAGATCTATGCCTTCTTATAGAAAACCCCCCCCCCCCCCATATAACGGTACCTTCCAATATTCGGTGGTTTAAGGATTTGGGCTTCATTTATCAACAGACTGATTTGGTATTTGAAGTTCGTAATAGTCGCCACCTTCTCTCGAAGATAATTAGCTAATGAGATCTACGGTTTCTTATAGGTCCCATATAGCTGTACCTCCAGATATTAGGATATGTTTCAACATTTGTATTTGGAGTTTGTAATGGGTACTACCTCAAATGACAGCAAAATTGCCCTTACAGGTCCACATCTTCACATAGCCATATAACTGTACCTCCATATATGCGTGTTTTTAACGATGATTGCCACATTCGGAATTTGGATTTAGCAGTGGGTTCTGCTTCCTATGACGGAAAATTACCCATACGAATTCACGTTTTCGTGTAGCCAACATATTCCGGTATTTTGAAGATTATAGCTATATTTTTCAACAGCATAATCTTAAACGTGGTGTTTGGAGATCATAAACCGCACCAGATAAGTGGAATTATTAAAATAATGGCGCTAATTTCAACTTTATTTTTTTACATTTTTCCATTTTTTCCAAATGGTGGAGGATATTAAATATTCAGCCTTGCCGAACTTGGTTTCTTTTTTACTTGTTGTTTCCTTAATTCGTTTATTTGGCTCAAGGCGGAACCCTACTGAAGTCGATGGTAATCGGGTTCAGATTTGAATTTAGCTGCCATATATATTTTTAGTGTACATTAAATTTACTTTCTTACCAAGTGGATTCAATTTAGGATACACTACGGAATTCAGCCTAGAATTGTATTAATTCTGGAAATCGGTTCAGATATAAATGTAGGTCCCATACATATATTGCTCATCCGAATTGAACATTTAATAATTGCTCTATAATTATCATATTTGGTGTAGAACATATTGGATGCAATTTAGAAATATCTCTGCCAAAATTTGCAGAGATCAATTCAGATTTAGATATAGCTTTGATATACATTTCCTATAGAACAAAAACAACGTTTCTGTTTCATTTTAGAATTCTATTTAGTCTCCTGCCACTTTTTTAACAAAATATAATCATATTATTATTAATGTAATCATTTAGCAAAAGTTCATATTATTAGAGTCCTTTTAAAATCATTTTGTTGATATTTAATCCATATTCTACCGTTTCCATTTCCCTAATATATTATCCATCTCACCGACGGCTTCTTCTCGATTGTAATCCATTACATACCTCGCAATACAAATATCCACAAATAGATGGTTCCAAAATTGCAAAGTTTTAACATTATTGACATTTTATGGATCCATTCAGATGAAATGGATTTTCTTCGGATTAGTTCTATGGATATCCTTTGGAATTTCACTGCAAAAGCTTGGATCAGACCACTGTTAAATCCGCAACATAGTAAAAGCGTAAAAGTCAAAGAATTAAAATGATATAAAGGCAGCAGCAACAACTACAACAGCAGACAAAATAAACACTTGTTGTTGACAAAACACTTTGTTCGCGCGCACTTTCACTCTCTCAACAACACCAAAGAATGACAACGGCACTGGCAAGCGACGAGCGAGCAAGCGAACCTGGCGAAAGGTTTAGCAGGCGTTAACTGTGACACTTCAACTACAGGCCAATGGTTTTTATAGTCGCTAACGTAGCTGGCGCAAAACGTAGTGACGAAAGGTGTGCAAAAAAGGCGAAAACACTCACTCATACACGCACACACTCAAACTCACCTAAGACTACGAATGGTGTTATCCTTTGTGTCGGCTTGTATTCAATTTGAATGTTAAACCTGATATTGTTATTGTAACGGTAAATTGTATTGTTGCCATTGTTGTTGTTGTTGTCGTCGTTGTTGCTGTGCTTTCCTTTTTGGTCCATGTAACATCATCAGCCTCATCATCAAAGCAACAGGGTGACAATGCAATGATAGAAAATTATTGCATTTCGGTACCGAACTTATTTCAACGACGAAGATCATGCGCATGGGTAATGGGTGGAGGGATTGGGGGTAGGTGTATGTATGTTCATAGTAGCAGTAAATTCATTCATGTTTTGCTAACTTGTTGCTACATAGAGAGGAGTCCATAAATTGAAAAAGCTAAAAAGTTTTAAAAAAGGATGCTAACACTCAAAGAAAAAAGTCAATTTGAAGCAGACTATGGTAATACATACAGGTCTTTTTGTAAGAGTCATGAAGTTGGTCTCCGATTTATATGAAAAGAAAAGATCTAAAGCTGGTCTTCTATCTGTGGTAAATCGACATTGGGTCCATCCATGATGTCTTTTAACGATATAATAAAAATTTGAAGTCGACCTTTAGGTCGCTTATACAGACGACCTTAAGTCGCTTATGCAGACGACCTTTAGGTCGCCTATACAGATGACCTTTAGGTCACCTATACAGACGACCTTTAGGTTGCCTATACAGACAACCTTTAGGTCGCCTATACAGATGACCTTTACGTCACCTATACAGACAACCTTTGGTTCGCCTATACAGACGACCTTTAGGTCGCCTATACAGACAACCTTTAGGTCGCCTATACAGACAACCTTTAGGTCGCCTATGAGGTCGATATAATAACAATTTCAAGTCCAGGAAAAAGTCAATCTGAAGCAGATTATGATAATACATACAGGCTTTTTCAGGAAGGAGGTCTCCGATTTATATGTAAAGAAAATATCCAAAGTTTGTCTTCTATCTGTGGGAAATCGACATTGGGTCCATTTATGAAGGAATTACATATGTCTTTCATCGATATAATAACAATTTCAAGACGACCTATAGGTCGCCTGTAAAGACGGCCACTAGATCGCCTATTAAGACGAGCTTTAGTTTGCCTACAAATATAACCTTTAGGTCGCCTATAAAGACGAGTTTTAGGTCGCCTGTATTGCTTCGCCTATACAGACGACCTTTAAGTCGCTTATGCTGACAACCTTTAGGTCGCCTATACAGACGTCCTTTTGGTCGCCTATAAAGACGATCATTAGGTCACCTATACAGATGATGTTTACGTCGCCTACATAGAATATCTTTTGGGATTCATTTAAAGTCTGAAATACTTTTCAGTATATAGTCAATTTTATCGTTATTTTTCTCGAGTGTACACAACACTTATTAATATTTCCTGAATGAAAAGGGTCACATGTGGATTTTGTTCGTTAACTCGTTGAGCAATAAAGTAACCAAAAAAGAAAACTTACGTACAATTGGATATCTATAGCTGCGTCGTAATGAGTGGCCCAGGTGTTAATGGATGGGTATGTGTGTGGGTGGGAATCTGTGTAGGCTATTAAATAATTTGTTCTCTTTATGAAGATAATTATGCAAGGAATTGCGACATCAGGAAACCCCCTTTTCTGTCGTATTACTTTGAATTATAAAATAATATGACCTTTTTGTAAGGACGTAAGATTGTTACTAGACAATAAGAGTTTTTGGGACTTATAGACTTAGTGAATATATAACTACATAAAAGAATGTAATTTAAATGATTCTTAGCTTACCATACAAAAAGTTGTATATGTGTGTGCAGTGAAACTTTGATTAAACCTATAATATTGTTAAGTAAGCCAATCTGATAGAGTAATCGATTGTCATGATCATCTAATCCTTTTAAACGAGCAACAATTTTCGAGTTTTTATTGGACTCTCAAAAGTAAATGCAACACATAACAACAACAAACGTAAAAAATACAAATTATAAATTAATTGCGACGAAAACGAATCTCTGACATCATAGATATTATTGCCAAAAATCATTTATAGGGTTGCCACATCAGTTTGAAATGTCTACCAAAAATATAATTTTTAACATCATCGTAATCGTAATCTTTTTATCGTGTCAGCAGATGTGACTAGGGTGAGATAAAAAAACTGCAACAAAGTCAAACGAGATGATTTTTACAATTTTTTTTTTTAATTTTATTGAATGAAATCAAAAAATGTCGGAAGTAGAATCAAATTTAGAATAAGTTTAGATTTGTTCGAATTGGTTGGCGAAGCGCTTGCTTGAGGTGATCGACACGTTGGTATTTTTAGTGCCAACATTGCTTTCCAAAATACTCCAGACACAATAGTCCAACGGATTGGTATCCGGAGATTTTGGTGGTCATTGTTCGCTGGAAATGAAGCGAGGAACCTCATTTTGTAACCATTTGGGTGGCGCGTGCTGAGTGCAATGGTGCTGAGTCCTGGTGGAATGTCCAAGGTCTGCGGCTAAAATGTTTGCGTGCCCAAGGCTTTTATACAGGGTTGCCCATATTCGACGGACCCATCTGGCAACGCCATAACTTTTGACTGAGATGTCACATCGCTTAATGAAATACCGCGATTAAAGCGTCAGTCCAAGCAGATTTTTACCATGAACCAATACACGCCACGCGAGCGCTCTGAAATAGTTGAAATTTACATTCAACAGAAGAAGTCAATTGTGAAAACTAAACGTGCTTTTAAAACATTAAGAAATGTGAGAAGTGCGCCTTCTAAGAACACCATTAAGCGTTTATACGAAAAATTTTCGACTGGTAAGGCTCTTTCTAATCCGAAGAGGCCATATAAAAGTCGACCAAGTCAATCGGCCGAGAATATCGCTGCCGTACGAGCCAGTGTTGAAAGGTCCACAAGAACATCCCAGTTGGGCATGGGTCGGTCCACTTTACAACGGATTATTCGCATTGATTTGCATTTGTTCCTGTACAAAATTCAATTGACGCAAAGAATGTTGCCTGCGGACAAACCTCGTCGATTGGAATGGGACCGAGGGGCCCAAAGGTCCGTCGAATATGGGCAACCCTGTACACACTCCAGAATATTTTCGCGATAATATTCGGCATTTATTCCGATGCCACGGTCGATTAATACGAGCGGAGAATGACCATCGGTTGTCTATGGCCGGCGCTTGAGTTCTGGCGGCCAACCGAAGGTGCACATTTTCAGCAGACCACTTTGGCAAGTAAACACGATCATTTTGCTTGAATGTTTTCTCATCGGAGAAAACCAAATTCGTCAGTTCACCACTTTCGCCCAAGAGAAGCAACTCTCTAGCTCTTTTGAGTCTATTTTCTTTCTGTTGCGATGTAAGTTCTTGCACTTTTCGGAATATCAATGGCTTTAACCCGAGCTCATTTTTCAATATTTGCCGAATGGAATATTGCGATATGTTCACCTCACGAGCCATTTTTTGGCCACTGCGACACGGGTTTCGATCAAGTCACTTCTTTATTTTTCAAACCATTTCTGCTGATGTTGCTGTTTTCTTCCTACGGGCTACGCTGCTAGTATCACGGTAACGAGCGATGGTACGAGACACAGAAGTTTAATTCAGATTTAAAATCTCACTATCACGCTTGAATTCCATCACGAATAACTTTTTTCTGGAAAATTCTCACCAAAATGCTTTTCTACGCTTGTAAACAATATAATGAGCTGTCACTGGAATAATTTTAACAGCTGTCGGACGAGTGCCTAGAAATGACAACAGTTTGAAGTTGGTTGCAGTTTTTTTCATTTCACCCTGTATATTTGATACAATTTAGGATGATTTTAGATATGTGTATTGCAAGTGCAATAGTACCATTTTTGGTTTAATTTGGTATTAGCTGAGCAGATAGTGCTTGAAATATGAAATTTGATATTAGGGTCGCTGTTCATGTGCAGCCTGGATGTGGTTTCGGAAATATATACTACAATTATTCGAGAAGTACTAAGTAGGCTACTAAATTGGGTATTGCGTGAAGGGATACAGTTGGAACTCCGAAATTCTATATTGAGGTCTGTTAGTATATGATGGTGGTTTTCCAAATGCTTACTATAATTGTTCGAATGATACAAAATCTTATTAATTTTTAATAACTGTTGGTGCTAGGATGCAGAACTGTAAATTGTTTTGGAAATGCGACTTACTGTTAGTACATTTTGTATTGAGTGGATAAAGCTGAAATTTGACTATTGGCTTCTAGGGTTTACATATTGAAGTTTTGGACAGAGAAATTGTCCAAATATGCTCCTCTGTAAACTTAAAATACTAGAAGAATTTTCGCTGAGGAAATAGCGTGCACTTGCTTGTATGATATATAACCTATGTCAATCTAATTGCGTATACGTCAAATGAAAACCACTGGATTAAAGATTTGATGCATACGCTTTACGACTACAGGTCATAAATATTAATAGACACGTCCATACTGTGTCTTATCTGCGACGAAATTCTGCGACGTAATATTCCTATGAAACTTTTGGTATGTTTACATTAAACTTTTTGCCGTGTTAATCTGCTTTAGAAGAATATATTACCAATAACATAATTAATGTTATTGATAATTTAAAGCCACTGGGTTTACTAAATTCTGGAACTGTAAACGTATTCTAACTCCATCCATTCGGAAAATATAAATATATAAAAAATTTATATAAAATCACAAATTCCAAATCAAATGGTGCTCTGTTGGAAATTGATTTTGATTGTATGCAGTAATGCAGTATTTCTTGCTGTTTCTTTAACATATAGTCTGCGTTTTTACGAAGACTTGTGCTCGCTAGATTTGTTATGTCAGTGGTATTGCGTGATTGCTACAACTGGAGTAGAAAT